TTGCCTATTCTGGGTATTTATTGTTCTTTCAGGAAAAAATTATTAACTGTCCACCAATAAGTAGTGAAAATTCTGTGTGGTGGTTCAGCAACGAACAGGTCAGGGATAAATACATCTATCCCCTACTTCCTAAAATTATTAGTGATGATGTCTTTCAAGTAACTGTTATAAGTATTAATAATAATTTTAAAAAGCCTCACAACAGGTCAGACTGATCTATTCCCACAAAAGGAAAATCTACCCCCAAAATTTAAAATATTGTTTATGCTGAGTTGCCGAAACTAGAGAAGATAGTCAGATATCAGAGCAGTTAAACAGAAAGATCATTTTAATCTAAACCACGGTTCACAAGGTCATGGCTAAGCACTGCGTTATCCTAAGAAAGCAAAATACTATACCCATCTAAACAAATATCCAACAATTTACTTCTCTGGGCTTAACATTCAGATACCTGACTTGAAGGTCTATTGCAAAACCCGATATGTGATTAATCAATGTCAAATTACCTTAAAGCATACAAAGGAGTATACAAAGGAAATAAATAAATGACTCGTGTAACACATCTGATTGTAATACATCTGTGATTGGCTTCTTTCGTTTAACTCTCAATTTCAAGGTTCATATATATTGTAAAATGTGTCAGTCCCTCCTTTGTTTTGACTGTTGAATAATATCTATTGTATATTACACTATAGTTTATTTAGCCATCCTTCGGTTGGTAGGTGATGTAGGTTGCTTTCACCTTTTGGCTACTGTGAATAATGCTGCTATGAACTTTCATGTTTTTGGATGGGCATGTGTTTTTGCTTCTCTGGGATAAATATATATGAATGGAATTTCTGGGACTCTAAATGAGGCAAGAGAACTGGTAGCTAGTTTGATATGCTTCAATCAACACATATAGTCAGGGCCTCTAATTATTCTAGTGAATTGCTAGAACTCCTACATGTCCTTATTAGCAAGAAGTCTAGTGCCTCCACCCGAAGACCTCTTCCTTCCTCCCTGAGTTGACCAAGGACCCAGAGCTCACTCTGTCAGGTCAGTGGGAGTCAATCCTGCTGCAGGTGCCAGCCAGAGAGAGGTTTGTCCACCAGCAGCGCTGTGGAAGCACTCAGTGTTGCAGTTGAAATCCGGCCCTTCCTTCCTTCTTGTCTTTCTGTACGCAGGCTCAGGCTCTGTACAGGTGAAGGTGTTCAGAGACCAGGTCTGGATCCCTTAGGCCACCATCTGCGGCCACATTCCAGGCTCCAGTTCAAAGCTCTTTTGGACCACAATGGTACATTGGGCAGTTGAACCCAGAACTTCTTCCTCGGCCATGCCATACGCTGGAACCAGCATCTACTCCCCAGGAAGACTGAGGCGCAGACTTGAGGCCAGGCGTAATGAATACAACCTTTCCGGTTCATCGGGTTGCAAACTCGCACACCTATGAGTACAAGCAAATAAAAACTTTACTTAGTCTAGAGTATGACTGCTGAGAGAGGGTAGAGAGTGTGTAGAATGCGTTCTGCTAACAGAGGAGCTTGCAAATCCTTGGTAATTGACAAATGGAAAACCCAGGAAGGGCCGGGAGAAGCCCCCTCCGGATGCACACTGACTTTCCTTTTCCTCCCAGGTATGACACAAAGGAGGTCCATAACAGAACACCTTCAACTGTCCAGAGCCTGGCCAACTGTACAGAATACAGCTGAATGCAGCCAACTAACCTTTATCTGTGGGCTTCAGGTATGTCCTCCCATGAACTCCCATTAACCCCTGTCCTCTCCCACCCCAAGACCACACCCCTGCTCTCCGGTCCAGACTTCCCTTGCAGTTTCCCTTGGGGCTGTTGGTGATGATCTTTCTTCCATTCCAATAAGTTCTCCTTTCTTGGAATCCAGAGAACAAAGGCTGGGATCCTGAGACTTTGCCCCAGGAGCTTCTGAACTGTTTATCTCCCTTCTCCCTGGCAACCAGCTTTGCTTGTCAAGAGGCCTTGGGAACGCTGAGCTTCATCAACCTGTTAAAAATTTTATGCCACTTTCTACTCAGAGCAACGAGTATCTACTTGTCCAATGTTTTCACAACTAAAAGAATCACACAACGGCTCTTGTCTGAATAATGGAAGTCCTAAGACGACTTTGTCTCCACCCTTTGACAGAAGCAGTTGACAGTAGGTGCCCAATGACAAGAAAAATGTGGGGAGATTATTTTGACTAATTATTGGGTCACAAACTCTTTCTGACAAAAAAGATAATATATAGAGATAATTTATATTATATATATTATATGCGCGCGCGCGCACACACACACACACACACACACACACACACATACACACACCTCAGGATTTAAAACTACTAAAAACATGGTAACTCTTCCATTTTCATGTCTTTTCTTCCATGCTCAGCATCAAACCCAGGGCCTTGTGGTGCTAGGCAAGTGCTCCACCTCCGAGCTATATCCTAACCCTCCATTTTTATGTTTTGTTCATTGTATTTCACATTAGCGATAAAGATATCAGAAGTATAGTTTAAAAATAAAATGATATTTTATAATCATTACATGGACAAGTTTTCTTTCCTTTCTTTCTTTCTTTCTTTCTCTTTCCTTTTGATATTGAGCTACATTCCTGGCCTTTTTCATTTTTTATTTTAGTTCTTGCTAAATTGCCCAGATTAGCCTTGAATTTGTAATCCTCCTGCCTCAAGACACTGGGATTACAGGTGTGCGCCACTGCAACTGTTTGTATGGACAGTTTTGGGTTTCTTTCTTTCTTTTTTCTTTTTTCTTTTTTTGGTAGATGACCCAATATCTTTATTTTTTTTTATTTATTTTTGTAGTGCTGAGGATCGAACCCAGGGCCTCCTGTGTGTGTGTGAGGCAAGCGCTCTACCACTGAGTTACAAACCCAGTCCCTTGTGTGAACAGTTTTAAGGATAAAGTTTCCGGGATGGGGATGTGGCTCAAGCGGTAGCGCGCTCCGCTGGCCTGCGTGTGGCCCGGGTTCGATCCTCAGCACCGCATACCAACAAAGATGTTGTGTCCGCCGAAAACTAAAAAATAAATATTAAAAATCTCTCTCTCTCTCTCTTAAAAAAAAGTAAATAGAAAGAATACCAATTGTGAAGAAAGAAAGTTATTAAAAAAAAAAAGGAAAGGTTTCAAGTTAGAAGGACAGAAAGGAGACCTTAGAGAGGGTCCCCAAAATAATTGGTATAGAATGACTGGTATAAAATAAAAATGGTTGACTTTGGATACATATTATATTTTTGATGATCCACTGGAATGAGAAACTCATCTTTAAAAAAAAAAATAGATAGCTTTTTACAAGGCTTTACCTAGGCTGTTTGGTGGCTTGAAATCTTCAGGAGGGTTGATTTACAACTACAGACTAAAGCTCTCTGTGGCCTTGGTAAACTATGGCTGTTTAACTGGGCTCTGGAGTCCTTCGATCTGAGCTCTTCATTTCAGCTTCCCTAGGAACTCAAGCCGCTTCCTCGGGGATTCATGAAATTCGCTTTATTTCTCTGGTTCTCAGTAAACAACCCCCTGTCAGTCATTAATCTCCGAGCGGAGGGACTTCCCCTCTCTGACCAGTAGGAGGCGCATCGTGATTGCGCCTTCTTTGTTCACCCCAGCCCAGAAAATTCCTTTCCCGCTTTCTCAGGAAGCCATTCCTGGGAGGGTGACTCCATTTTAGAAGGAATCACCTGAAGAATGCCTTCTTTCATTATTTTATATTTCTTATAACACAGTGATGCTTTAGCAAAGACCAAGGCTTTGCCGGAAAACCCAGCCGAGGACCCAAGCCTCCAACTGTGCTGCTCTAGTCAGGGGTTTATCCCAGCTGGTTAGAACCCAGAGGTGCATTCCTTCACTTTTCCATTCCATGAACAAATGAGGCACCCCATTTTCTGAAATTGGGGAGGTTTGTGAATCAGAAATAATCTAATTTGCAAACTGATTAGAATTCTATTCTAATAATGGAAGCTGACCACACCCACTTGAGACTGGGCTCCGGCAATACTTTGCTGGTTTTCCAGTAAAGTAAACCAGACTCTGGGGAACTAGGCACATGTTGTCAGCATTTTAATGTCAGCCTTATTCATTCCTAAGGAGTGGGATTGAATAATGTTCTCAGGGAAAAATAGGATTTCTGGAACGAGACTGCACAATTTCCCCTTTGTATAAGAAAGGAAAAATTAAAGACTGGGTGTATTTGATTCTTATTTAACTGGAGAGGACCCCCCACACACACACACATACATACACACACACACACACACACACACACACACACACACACAGCTCTTGGTGCAGGCAGTAATTATGGGAAATGGGTGTACCATCAACACTCATCCTCTTGGGACATGCCCTGCTCCTCTCCAAGCAGAAGGGCAAAGACTGGGCAGAGGAGAAGTTCCATCGATGTCATGGTAGGGCCCCAAGCCTGCACTTGAGAGGTTCAAGAATGCACTGACCGGCAACCTCTTCCTTCAGTGGAGAGGGGCAGCATCCCTCAAGGCAGACTGGAAGATGAACCTTTCTATCAAGAACTGCTAGAAAAGCCTGCAGAATATGCAAGATGTGTTTGAAGGTGAGCTGCCAAGTGGTGAGGATTTAAGGGCCAAGACCCTGGGGAGAAGGGTTAGCAGAGCTTTCACTTCGAGGCATTTGCCCACCTCAAGAGTCAGAGAAGCTTCCAGCAGAACAATTGGAGTTCAAGGCCACCTAAGAGGAAGAGCAAGTAATGACCTCAGGCTTTCAGCTGGGACTTTTCAAGTGCAGCACCAAAGGAGTGGGGGGTGAAAATAGAGAGAGAAAGAAGCCCAGGCTACAATCAGCATAATGTTTGATTGGCTTAAGGCCAGATTTTTCCTCCTTGGTGCTACTGCTAGTGACATCAGAGAACAGAAAATTCTGTTGTGAACTGTCCTTCACATTGTAGGATATTTAGCAGCATCCCTGGTCTCTAGCCACTAGATGCCACTAGCATATTCCTTTCCCCATGTTTTGACGACCCAAACCGCATTCAGACAGGGCCAAATGTCCCCCCCTTTTTTTTTTTTTGGTTTTCATTTTGAATCAGGGTCTTGCTAAATTGCCCTGGCTGACCTCAAACTTGTAATGCTGTCCTGCCTCAGCCTCTCAAGTAGCTGGGATTCCAGTGGTGTGCCAGGTGCCCACTAATCCCCTCTGGTTGAAAACCACTGGATTAATGACATCTGCCAGACCCTAAACTGCTTGTCAGAAGCAAGGCTCAAGCTTTTCATCATTCGGATTCACAAATTCTATCTGTAATTTTTCCATGTGTGTGTTGTCTGGCACCTGATAAAATAACTTAAAATGCATGACAACATGGACACAAATAAAAAGGGGAGTGGACAATAATAGTGGGAGATTTTAGGCCACATTTTTCAGGAGCTGATAGAGTAAGCAGGCAAAACAAAACAAAAAAATCCCCGGGGTTCGGGTGAAGGGTGAGCCATGAAGAGAAAAAGGGTAGGGCATCCGGTCTAGTTGCAGGAGAGCGGGTGAGGAGGAAGAGGGCAGAGAGGGCAGACGGGCAGAATCGGGGACAGAAGGAGCATGTTTGTGGGCGCCCTCTTTCTGGAGGCCTTGTTCCAGGACCTCTCCATTAGGGCCAGTGCAGGGGAGTTGTGTGAGTGCCACGTTTCTTTGGCTCCTGAGAGATCCTCTGTGAGATCCACCTGGACCTTGGGTACATGGTTTGATTTGGCAAAGACGAGTAAAGGCAGGCAAAGGGGTGGTGAGCGCACTCTGGTCCGCTTGGGAGGGACCCTCCTAGAGAACTGCTGCACCTTCCTCCGTCGCCATGGAGACGCCACCAGGCACCACCAGTCATAGAGCATCTCATGGTCTAAGGACAGTTTCCAGATTGAGAGATGATAGGACTAATATTTGGTTCCTGTCTCTACTCTCTGCCTGATACTTCAGCCCAAAGTACTTCAGACACTATACAGATGTCTTGGACACCTACTATGGGGCAGACATTATTTCAGTTGTTGCAAATAAATAGAGAGTATCAGTCCCAGATGTGGAGATGGATAAGACTTATCCTTTGTCTGCAAAGAGCACCCCTCTGTGGAGGCAGGGGAGGGGTGGGTGAGTGGAATTAAATGATAAGCTGCTCATTCCAGTGGTTGCTGGGTCCTGCGCGGCAGATCATGATTGTCTAATAAGATGCAGATGTAATTGGGGCTTTAGGAGCAGTTCACAGGACTGGGGGGCGGTGGTGTGAGGAGAGATTGCAGAATTGAAAGAGGATCTTGTGGGAAACAGTTCTGATGAACAAAATCCTGTCAGGGAGAAAGTATGATATAGTCAGAATTTTTTTTTTTTTTTTTTTTGTTTGTGGTGCTGGGGATGGACCCAGGGCCTTGAGCATACTAGGTCAGCAGCACTCTTCCACTGAGCTGCATCCCCAGCCCATTTTATTTTACTCAGTGGTGATTGTTGAGTGCCTACTCTATGCCAGGCACTATGCTAGCAGCAGATGCTACTCCACAAGCAAGACTCCCTCCCCTCCCTCCCTCCCACAGATTGCTTAGGTTCTATCTAGTAGCACTGATGAAAAGGAAAGAGGTAAGCACAGGTCCCTGATCGGGGACATTCTAATAGGGAGCTGTCTGAATAGCTGGAGCATAAAGCACATGCAAAATAGCGGTGGGGAATATGCCTGTCAGGTTTCACGGGGGTTATTTTGTCCTTGAAGCTCAAGGTGAAGCCTTTTGCCAAATGTGATTGGTAAGAGGGAGCTCCTGAAATCTATTGATCAGGGAAGTGGCATGTTACACACATAAATACATTAGGCAGGACCCTGTCTTGCCCTTGACTCTTGTCTTCACGGGGGGCCAAATCGGAGGTCAAGGTGGAGACTACAGCAGCATGCATATGGGCAGGAGGACGGATTTTAGCCCAGAGTTCAAGCTTGTGGGATACGGAGGCACCCATCTGTATCTGTCCTTGCCTGACCCCCCCGCTGCCTGAGAAGATCAGACACCTGGCCTGACAGATGGCCAGAGCTCAGCAGCCGATACCCTGCCTGGGTGGACACTTCCTTAGCTGTTATATTTCAGGCCATTTCTTTCCAGATTATTTCCCTTGGTCCCTCGGGTTCCGTATCTTATAGCATCATCACTATGGGCTTTTTCTTTTCTTTCTTTTTTCTAAAGGACTTTGGAGGTATTTGGTGTAGATTTATTCTCTATTGGGTGTGGATATCAACGTCCAGAGAGGTGAGGTGACTTCGTCACAGGTGATGGCCGATCTCAGAGTAAGCCTGATCAATATGGGCACTTGATCATTGCCAGCTTGGTGTCCCTCTTCTGTTAACAGAGGAACCTCAGCTTTGCTTTGAGAAACCTCTGATCCTCCTCCAGATGGCTCAGATGGGGCTGTACCCTCCCCTCCCTAGACCATCTTCAGCTCTGTGATTTTGCTAGAGATGTGGGAAACTGTCTTTCTCTGGAACTCTTCATCTGGTAGAATATTCCAGAGCTTTCAGCAGTCACCATGCAAAGAAAGCCTGCCCCCAAATAAAGTCAACCAGAGAACTCAGTTGAGAGAGGGAGAGAGGGAGACTGTGTCCTCACAATATGATTTGAACTGCTGGATTCAACCAGATCTGTAGAATATTGTTTTAGTCCGTTTTCTGTTTCTGTAACAAAACACAGGAGGATGGGGACCTTATGAAATAATGAGGCTTATTTAGCTCACAGTTTTGAAGGCTGAAAGTCTAAGATCAGTCAGTCCCATTGCTACAGTCTCTGGCAAGGGCTCTCTAGCTGTCACAACAACAGGATGGAGGAGCAGAAAGGAAAGTGGTCACATGCAAAAGGGCAAAGTGTGTAGGATGGCCTCACTTTATAACAACCCATGATAGCTAACTCACTGTGCAAGACCAGTATTAATCTCTTCTGAGATCGAGGGCTGTGCCCCATGACCTGAATACCTTGCAGTGGGCCGCACCTCTGAGTGTGGTTCCACCATCTCTCAACGTTGCCACTCTGGGGACCAAGCTTCCAGCTTGTCAGCCTTTGGAACACAAACCATACCCGAACCATCACAGATACCCTCGCCCCCCGGACTTTTCAGTGTGTGGACCAATGTGTTTTAAAATTTGTTTCGTGTCGTGCTTTAGTTGTAACTGTGATCATCTGAATCCATACACTGCTGACTCACATTCCTTCTCTTTCTGACTCACAAGTGTTAATCCTTGGTTTATTTAGCAGGGTCACTTGAGTCTGTGACACAACCCCCACCACCACCACCTTGAATCACTGCCACCTGCTGTGGGGACTCTTCTTGCAAGATGGTGTGTGTCAATGGAGTGTGAATGAGGTCACCAGCCCTGTGCAGCAACATGGAGAGGACACTTGGTTTCTGAGGCCTGGGGCCCGCACGTCACCTCGGATCTTGATGGAATTCTATAGTGACATCAACGTTAACAGAACAGAAACAATGGTTCAAATGAGAAACTCGCCAGTGTAGCTCAGGTTTTGTCTCTCTTTTTCAAGTATGTACAGGTATATATGTGCACAGATATATTATACATATGCATGTGTACATGTACACATGATTAAACAGATTATGCATATATATTTATGTACAATATATGTATATTTTAAGATGTATATTTTAAAAGTAATATACTTGCCAGTAATATACCTGTTATCCCAGCAACTCAGGAGGCTGAGGCATGAACATTGCAAATTCAAGGCCAATCTCAGCAACTTAGCAAGACCCTATCTCAATAAATAAATAAATAAGCTTGGGCTATAGCTCAGTGGTAAAGCACCTCTGGGTTCAATCCCAAAACAAACAAAAAAAACCACCCAAACCCCAAAGTAATATATATATATATATTTCCATTGCAGAAAATCAAGGCGGCAAGAAAACATGTAAAGAAAAAAATTCTTTTTTATTTTTTGGTCCTGGGGATTGAACTCAGGGGCACTCAACCACTGAGCCACATCCTCAGCCCTGTTTTGTATTTTATTTAGAGACTGGGTCTCACTGTGTTGCTTAGCATCTTGCTTTTGCTGAGGCTGGTTTTGAATTCAAGATGCTCCTGTCTCAGCCTCCGGAGCTGCTGGTATTACAGGCATGAGCCACCACACCCAGCTGAAAAAAAATTCTCCTAAATATTAACCCCCCAGGATTATGGTTAATACTATATAATTTTCCCTTTGTTCTTTTTTCTATGCACATATACTTTATACCAGGTCATATTCCATTTTAAGTATTGTTAAATGAGAAAGTATACTTTAGAAGAGAACTTAACAGGATTTATGTCCATAAGTATACAGACGTCACATGGGTCCATTTGTGTATATCATATGTGAATACTCAGGTCTGAGAGATACATCAAATTATAAACAGATTTTTCCTCTGGAAATGAAAGACAGAAACTTGGACTTTGAAATTCTTTTTTCTTATTTTCTTTTTTCCTTCTACTTGGGATTGAACCCAGGATGCTTTATCACTGAGCTATAGTCCCAGAGATTTTTCATGCTTTATTTTGAGACAGTATCTCACTAAGTGCTGAGGATCTAAGTTGTTGAGGCTGGTCTTGAACTTACAATTCCCCTTCCCTAGGGGAATTGTAATTGAAACTTACAATTTCAATGGAATTGAATGAGGTCCTTAGGTTTCCAAGTTGCTGGGATTATAGGAATGTACCAACAAGCCTGGCACTGACTTTGAAATTTCTACTTTTTTGATTTACTTTGAAGGAAAACTGTTGGTTTTATGGTTGGATATGAGACGTCTCACAAAAAGCTCACATGGAAATGGAGGAAAGTTCTGAGGTAAAGTAGTTATATTATGAGAGCTAAAACCTAATCAGTGGGTTAATCCATTTGATGGATTAATAATTTGAGTGAATGACTGGGTGGTAGCTATAGGCAGGTGAAGCGTGGCTGGAGGAAGTAGGACCAGGGGTTATGTTTTTGTCTCTGGCTCCTGGCTCTGTTTCCTGGCTGCCATGAGTCAAGCAGATTTCCTCTGTCACTCCTTTCTGCCGTGATGTGCTGACTCATCCTGGGCCATGGAGCCATCTGATCGTGGACTGAACCTCTGAAACCATGAGCCTAAATAACATTTTTCTTCTCTAAGTTGTTCTCAGTGTATTTTGGCCAGAGCAATGAAAAGCTGATTGATACTATGGGTTTCCTTTGGAATCAGAATAAATAAAGTTGCAAATTTTCTAACATCAATCCTTCATTCCTTGTTTACTATCATGTTCACACATGAAAATTGCCATTTGTTCCCCAAATTCATTTGTTAAACCAGAGGTTGTCATTTTGAAGTGAACTGTATCATAGAGCACAGATACCAAAAGAATACAACTAGAAGTAGACAGAACACAGCCAGCTCCATCTTTGAAGCTGTACGTCACATCCAGGGGTCAAATGCCTCCTCTGACATGATTTATCAGGCACTGAAACCAACTGCTGTCAGCCTAATTAGAGAGACATGCTCAATTAAGACAGAGCAGGAGTCAGTGCGGCTCCTCTCTGACCAGGGAAGGACCAACAGAAGAGGCAGCCGAGAGGAGACCCACTCTGCTAGGGAGACCCCAACGCACTGGGGTCAATGTTTGAGGACAATCTGCCAGCCACCTCTTCCGAGAGCCCGCATTATCAGTTGTGCAGCTCTCTTGGGTCCATCTCCTCCCTCTCTCTTGATTTATCTCTGGCAGCATCACAGTCTCTTTAAGTGGCTCTTATCAGTCCATGGTTGCTGCCCCATTTCTCTCTTCGCTCCAAAAACCAAACTACATAAATTAAAAAAAATAAGAAAAACTAACTGCTTGACGGAGCTATCCACACCCACTGCCTCTACTTCCTCCTTCCTGTGCTGCTTGAGTTTCTTTGATATGGAGACCCACGGGGCTGGCTCGTTTCTTGGAAGGCGGCACTTGCAGTCACGTGCAAATCTCAACAAGATGCTGAAGAACGGTTGTCTTCATGGAAGCTTCCAGGGAGCTCCTCCCTCCCATCGCGATCAGAGGCTCGTGGCCTCCCCTCGCCTCTCCCCAGGCCTCCTCTCCATTGTCTCTTTCTCTGCTTTTCTCTGGTGGTCTCTCTCTACTTAGTCATCTAGTACATCCCATAATAATCAGTCCAGCTCCAGTCCACCTCAGGACTTGAGCCCAACTCAGCAGACAGATGCCCAAGGGAGAGGGAACCTAATTAGCCCAGTAACTTCTTCCAGGGAGGAGACAAGTTGGTCACTGGCCTCATGACCATGGGGTCCATGCCCACACACTGTGGTTGTTTATGGCCATGGGATCAGGAACAGGGCAGCCTACCCTAGAAGGGACTGTGGAGGGGGAGACATATCTGTATGCCTTTTATTCACTTCCCGACCCAAGGCAGTCGGCTTTGTTCAGCAGCCCGGAAGCCGCTCTCGCTAAGGTCATAAACAGTGTCTTTGTCGTTGAGTCCAATGGTCAGCATTCATTTCTTTCTGGGTATGAGTTCAGTGGCTTTTTAAACTCTTGACCCTTTTCCTATAATTTTCACAAATTTTTTTTTTGTTTTCAAATCACCATTATTATTATTAGTAGTAGCAGTAGTAGTAGTAGTAGCAGTAGTAGTAGCAGTAGCAGTAGTAGTAGTAGTATTTGTGGTGCTGGGGATGAACCCAGGGCCTTGTGCGTAGGCAGGTGCTCAGCCAGCCCCAGCCCTACATTCCTAGTTCACCCTGGTTTTCTGGCTGTTCCTTTCCTGCCTGTCTTCTGGGCTCCGTTTTCTGTGTCTCTGCTTTCTCCTTTGGTCTTCCTCGGGGTCCAGATTTTCCTTTCTTTTCCAGAGCCCTTCCTCCTATGCAGGACCTACCCAGGTAGCCTCATTCTCCCCATGGCCGCAGTCACCTGCTCTGTACTGACAGGTTCCAACTTTATATGTCTACTCGCCTCCTCCCAGACCTCTTTATTTATCTATTTATTTTGGAGGGGCCTACTGGGGATATAACCCAGAGGCAATTTACCACTGAGCTACATCCCTAGCCTTCTAAGTTTTTTTGTTTTGTTTTGTTTTGTTTTTAACTTTGAGACAGGGTTGCTTAGGGACTTGCCATGTTGCTGAGACTGGCCTTGAACTTTCCATCCTCCTCTCTCAGCTTCCCCAGACACTGGGATTATAGGCATGTGCCACGGCACCTAGCCTCCCAGACCTTTTAACCAACTGTCCAGGTCTACCTAGATGTCCCACAGGCACCTTAGAGTCACAGTATGCTCAGTTGAAATCACCACCTTCCCCCTCAAATTTTCTTCTCTCCCGATATTCCTTATTTCAACAGATGGCACCACCCACCTGCTCTAGCCATGCCCAGTGCCTACCCCTCTCACTCTTCACACCCAAGCACCCAACATAAAAGACTTGATGATAATTTCCTCATGTGTCATATACCCAGTGTTCTACTTTCTTGTGCTTTGCTTTTTAAAAATTATTTATCTAATTTTATTTTGAGACAAGATCTCCCTAAATCGCCAAGGCTAACCTCGAACTTATGATCCTTCTGCCTCAGCCTCCTGAGTCACTGGGATGACAGGGTGAGCCACTCCAGTTCCCAGTGTTCCACTAAGTATCTCTTTATCTTTTCTTTTCCCTTCCTGATACTGTCATCTTTCTTGGGGTCATCTAAACAGCCTCCTAACTTGGCTCCCAACCTTCAGTTTTCCAACCCCCCAATCCAGTTGCCCATGGGACGCAGAGTGTTCTTTTCCTTCCTCCTTTTAGAAAGAAATGTAGGTAGCTGGGCGCAGTGGTGCACGCTTATAATCCCAGTGGCTCCAGAGGCTGAGACAGGAGGATCATGATTTCAAAGCCAGTCTCAGCAAAGCGAGGTGCTAAGCAACTCAGTGAGAACTTGTTTCTAAATAAAATACAAAACAGGGCTGGGGATGTGGTTTAGTGGTCAAGCGTCCCCAGGGTTCAAACCCTGGTACCAAAAAAAAAAAGAAAAGAAAAGAAAGAAATGAAGTTTTAGTAATTCTATGTATACACATTCTGCCCACATCCTGTGTGGGGAAGGAGTGGGTAACTGCAGAGGTGTGGACTGGTGAATGCTTTCTTTATAGCGGTACACACCAAAGGGAATCAGTAAGGAGCTTCTCTAGGAAAACAAGATGAGAGTAGGGAAAACAGATTGTTTGGTGCTTGACAGGTTATACCCAAATCATGGCTGCATTTTACCTGGGGCTGTGAGCTAAGGCAGGGCCCCAGTGTGATCTTTCTCTAACCAGGGAATTTCACCCAGGAGTTTCCAGAAAAGCAGCTTCCCTGCATTACTGGCTCAAAAAAATCCATAGTTCATACACAGCTTCCAACATACATAGACTCAAACTACTATTTACAAAAGTGTTGGCCGGACTGTTTCAATATAAATATATGATTTTGTACCTTTTTATTTTTTTATCATGCCGAACTTTGAACAACATTAAAGAAGACAGAGTATTATATAGTATTCCTATTCCCCCTGCCCCAATAACCAGCAACCCAGGCCAGACCTATCCCATTCCTATCCCAATCCATCCTGCTCTTATGTAATATTTTGAAGCAAATCCCATGTACCCTATCATTTCATTTATAAATGTCATATAATGCTATTATCATAACTAAAAGAATAATAATTCTTTAATATCATTAAATACTAACATCTATACTTCTGATTCTCTCACGAATGTCACACGTGTATAAAAAAATCTAAATTCCATAGTTTGTGATTGGTTGTGCCTTTAAATGCTTCTTCTTTTTTAAATAATATCTTTGTTTTATTTATTTATTTTTATATGGTGCTGAGGATTGAACCCAGTGCTAGGCAGGTGCCCTACCACTGAGCCACAACCTCAGCCCCAAATGCTTCTTAATCCATGGTTTCTCCTTATCCCTTTTATAGTTATGTTCCTTGCAATTTATTTGCTGAGAGAAAAGCAAACAAATGTGCTGTTAATAAAATTTTCCACAGAGCTAGGTTTTTGTCCCTGTAGTATATCATTTAACAAGGACTTCAGTTTTCTGTATTTCCTATATGTTAGCAGATTTTTTTAAAAGTAACATCATTAGAATAGACACTTAAGTGTTAATAATATTAATATGCCTGACATATTAATATGCCTGCCTTTAAGGTTAACTGGTTTTCTTAGAACCTTAAACTTCCTGGACAAGTAGAGGTTTCTAAATTTGATTATGTCCTTCTCTACTTAAAAATCTTCATTTTTCTTAGAGTCCAAAGGAGTGAAGGTGATTATTCTTTGACTACCCTGATTGGCCAAGGTGTGAGCATGTGACCCAACCGGGCCATTCAGAGCCCTTCCCAGCTTTTGCAGCTGAATCTCCTAGGAATCTTTTAGCTGTGGGCTAACCCAAGTCATGTGAGGCTTCGCCCATTCCATTTGAAATTCTCTGTTTCCATGAAGGGACTTTTTTTTTTTTGTCCTGGGGATTAAGCCTGGGGATACTGTACCACTGAGCTATTACACCTTCAGCCTTTTTAAAATTTTTATTTTGAGCATTTTCCGATGAGAGGACTGCTCAGATGCCTTGTCTTTGTCCTCCCACCCTCTAAAAATAAAATAAAATAAAAAATAATAGTCAAGCAGTTTAGATATTCATCAGCCTGGTAAACAAACTTTGCCAGCATATAGAAGTCCTACTATTGTAAAGAAAATTGACAAGACAAAAAGTACATATGACGACCCAACTACTGTGTCGTTGGGTAACTTATAAGGTTGACCTCCGACTTCATTGATGTAAAATCCTATTGGAAATATTAGGGCAGCCATACAGAAAAAGATCATTCCAGTGAATGCTATCCATCGGGCATATTTTGTAGCTTCTCTTCGCCAGTGGGAAGCCACCAGCAAACCACATGTGACAGTCAATGAAATGATTCCCATGATGATAAAAAACAGTGTGGTGACCCACTCTGGGGGGATGCACGTCCTATCTCGTCCATGGATTGTTTGACACTGTCGCACTAGCCCCACAGTGAGTGCTCCCAGTGTTGATCCAGTCGGGATTGGCGATGCTGGCGATGGCCAGAAAGAGACAACCTGAGATGATGGTCAGTTTATCCATCTCCCCGCCCCGCTTCCCCCACCTCAGCCCAGGGCTGGCCGCGGCCTCAGGCCTCATGCCCCCTCGCCCCCGCGCTGCTGCTGAAAAGGAAAAAATGCTTTGATTTGTTCTCACTATGCACTTTGGATTAAAAAAAAAAAAAGCCTTTCCATAACCCAATACAGACCATATTGACTAAATCTCCTGAGCATATTCGGGCAGGCAGTCTGCACTGTGATAGCAACCTAGAGAAGGAGAATGCTTTACACTGAAAAGCCTGGGGCCCTTTGTGACTCTCTTGTTCCGTTTTTAACATCTAATGATTCATTTGAGAAAAAAAAAGTCTAAGTATTTATGAATCATGGTGGACCAGAGGGATGCAAAAGAAGTTCATGTGGGGCTGGCCTCACCTCCTAAGAAATTAGTGTTCACAACTTCCTTGTAATGGTATGAGCCTTTGGCACCAGAACGGATTACCGTTGCATTACTGCACCGAGAAGCCAATAGATCAAAATGTGTTTGCTAAAATGTATGTAAAAATTCTGAAATTCCCTAATCTCTATGTACAAAAAGAAAAGGAAAAAAAAATCAAAACACTAAGAGACATGTTGTTTGGGGTGGGTGGGTGGGGAAAATCTTCCTTATATTTATATAAATATATATATAATATATATATTTTGCTGATGCAGTATACAGTGTGTATATATGTGTGTGTGTGTGTGTATGTGTGTGTAAATTTATATATGCACACATGCAAACAGTTCCTGGAAGAGAACTCTGAATGCTTTGCTAGCAAACACTGTGGTGTGCAAACCTAGAACTCACTCAATAGAAAAAAAGCCATTTATCTGAAGGCTGCATAGTGGAGAGAGTCTTCAGTTTACCTCATTCTTTGTAGCAGCCCTTGATTTTAACCGGTTTTTGTAATAGGTACAAATAATCCCATACCTTTCTAGGTGTAATTTTAAGTTAAGCTAAAAATTCTTTGTAGGTTAATTTATTTGTATATGATAGTAGTAGGTAAGATCATGTCAAACCTTATAATTTGGGGATCTAACACTATTTAAATTATTGGAAATTGTTGTCTATTGTATAGAGATTCTTTTTTTCTATTGGCTTGGTATGTTACATTAATAATGCATTTTATATGTTCAAGCACACAACTTTACGTAAATACAAAGTTCACTAGCAAACATCTGGCTTTTTTGACTACTTACAATACTAATTTCACTCTGCCATAAAAATTAATGTTTCTGTTCTTTTTATCTGTAAGCATTATTCACATACTTTTACCAAAAACTCAAGCAATACAATATTTTCTTTATTTGCTGTATGCCTTTGTTTACTAAAAGCTAACATTTTTTGCATTTATTTTAAAGGGCTGTACTAAACCCACAGCTTTAAGTTTTTTTCCTTAAAAAAGCATTGTAGCCAATGCTTGAACTCACAAATGGTTTTAAAATACAGTATTTCTCTTCTCCACATTTCCATGCCTTCGTGTCAAAGCTTAGTTGTTTTTCCTGGTGAGCACCATAGATAATCTCTTGTTCGAAGGGTGGACAGGAGGGTGTTTCACAGCAATGGAGCTAAGTTTTTCCTCTTTTTAGTGAAATGGCAACCCAGATGTCCCTGTCAGTATAATAGAGACAGTCTCATGTAGCCCATGCTTCACACAGCAGGAATGAATGCACTGTTTCTTAAGAAGATAGTTCATAAATTACAGAATGATTCCTTCAGAGACGGGGCTACCTCCTCAGATATTCAGAGTATGAAATGGAAGAGCTCAGTGTGTTTCACACTGGCTTGTTTGGTATTCATATATCTTACTGTTAATTCTACAGTGTTTCATTGTGAATGAAAACCCCCATTTTCAGCTCACTCTTGAGTCAACAATGGGCTGGGGTGTTGGACCACCCCTGGGTGTGTTCCTTGAGCGTTCTGAGGGAATGTCATACTTTTCCTTTTTACCTTCCCCAGGTTAAAAAAAAAAACCTTTGGAAAACCCAAGGGAGACCATTCCCCACGTATTGTGATGTCTAGTCAATTCTAAGAGTACCACCAGACATATGTGGACATTTGGGATTGCATTTCCCATTGTGATTTGACAGGTCCTCAAATCAAAGGGAACACTTTAAAGGAAAGCTTTGGTTGTCACCATTATACCACTGAGATAGTGTTAGCAAAGTATGGATCAAATTAATTTATGGTATAACCAAGAGATTTTCTCTTCCAAAAGATGGATTTTATTGTAAATAGTTTCTCAAAATATTTTTAACTGGATCATGAGCATGGGGAGAGAAAGTTTCTCAGCTGCTAAGAATTTCCCCACTGTTTACTTCTTTCACTTACAGTGGTATTGCATATAAGATTACAAAATTTAAGGTTTTATTTGTATCTATTACCCAAACCATTAAATTGTCCTTGATTTCATCATTGTCTTGGAGGTCCAGTGCATAAAGGACTGATAGAGGGGAAAGTTCCTCTAGCCAGTCTGCATGCTAACCCAGGATTAAGACCATCTCATTGAGTAGTATGTGAGGTCAAGTCTTTGTACTCTTCCAGACCAAACATTGAAATGGACTCATTCATATAACTTTCTATAAATCCTGTAAGTGAAAAGATAGTCAACTGTCAGCAGTTGCTTTTAAAAAGGTCACTATAATAAGTACTATATAGTACAGTATTAATTTATAGCAGGATATCATATCTTGTAAACTGTATATAAAACACGGTTTTATGGTGCAATCATTTGTCCAACTTTTGTCTGTTACATTGTTTTTAGAGTGTACGTTCTTCTCATACCTAAGAATATCACTGTAAAATGCTGAAAACTATCTTTTTGTTTTATTTGCACAAGACTGAATTAGTTTGAAATTTTTTGGAAGCTCCTATTGAACATGCCTAGACACCTGTAAACATAAAAATATTAAGTTCATTAAAAGTAAACATGTCAGTATGATTCTTTCCAAAGGTAATCCATGTTCTATGTTGTTAACGTGTGAGTGTGATTTTTCTGACTTGTCCACCTCTTAACCTATTTTCTGTTTTGTTTTTGAAGGATGGCTTTTTTTTTTCGTTTTAATGTTCTAGATGACCAAAACACTATTGGTTTTTACCCTTTTGCCTAAAGCTTTGATATCTCCACTTGATGTTCTATGAAGTCACTGTTTAATCTCTTAAGTGAAATACTAATAGTCCTGGTGACAAACAATCTATTGATTTAGAGAAAGGCCCAGAAAAAAAGTATTGAAAGGTAACTTTGGATATATTGTTAGCTATTATTTTGCATCGTGGGCTTCGTGGGAAGAACATGTTGCATTTAATTTGTCTTTATTATAAGACTACTAGACACAAATTACTCTTACTATAGTAACCGCTTTATCAACCCACTTTGATCTTCTTTTAAAAATTAAATATGCATTCACAGTTCAAAACAGTAAGCTGTCTTTCAGAAAAATTTTGAAGGATAAAATACATGAAGGAAAAAAGTGGCCTGTGTAGGTAGAATTCACTACACAGGACTTGTAGTTGTATCACCTCAAGAGATTTTAAAGTTTGTGATTAAGGTCTGTATATTATCCCAAACTTTATTAAGAATTGTTTTCTAATTGGTTTTGACATTTTTTCAATTAATAGTTTCAAAACAATTGTTAATACAACTGTATAAAATGAACATAATTTTCTTCACTTGTATTTTTGTTATTGAGCAAGTTTATCAAAATAAATTGTCTACTAAAGAAACTAAAAAGGCTTCTATTACTTTGCATAAGCTTTGATTTAAAAAATTAACTTCTTATAGTGGTTCCACATATATACACATAGACACTTCCATGCCTCTTGTTAGCCTCATGGTGTGGAAGGGTTCCCTCTCTTCTTCCACTCCTAGCTCACTCCTAGGTCAGAGCTGCCATTAATATTCCAGGTCACTGATTATGCCATGTTTAGCAATAAGAAGAACCATTCCGCAATAAAACACCACATACACGTGGATTTGTCTTCTGCATCAAATTTCCATGAACTAGGAGAAAAAAATTGAGCCAAAGCCCGGAAGAGCAGCCATCTTTCTTTTCTTTCTTGCATATAGACTTAGCTCCATCTTGGCTTCAGTCTTCTGCTGTGTCTACTTCACGCCAAAGGATCTTAGCTTCTAAGATCTTAAAATGTGGGTTGAAAGAACAAGATAAAGGCCCTTGGTCTTTAGACTGGTCCGTTTACCCCACATTATAGCCTTACTAGAGCCCTCTATGGAAGTATCAAGATTAGCCCAGCACAATAACAACTAGTGAATATCTCACCTTCACTGCTGTTTCTTCTTTATATGCCCTTTCCAAGAGCCTCCTGGGGTGTTAAGGGTTAAGACATAGTAAAAGATGGTTTTGAGTTCTGGGACTTGAAAGCATCTTCATAGGGTGCCCAACCATTCCAGGTGGCCTGAGACCTAGGGATTCCCACAATGTGGGACTTTTTGGGGGAAAATCCAGGCAAACTAGGGTGGTCATTAGGTCACTCAATCTTCACACTATCTAAATCTTATTCTGATACATAACACTGATTAGAGGTACTCAAGAAGGTTCTTTTTGATAAGCACTAATGAATAGGTCAATTGGTAACTATAATGGTAGGCATATACCAGACTTTTTTCCTTTTCTTTGGAAAAGGTAGCAGCATGGTTTTAACAATAAGATGTGCTCAAAAAATACCTTATTTTTGACTAAGTCTTCCATCAACTCTATTCTAGTTGCCCTATGGGATTATGGGGGAAACTCCAAAATGAGAGGACTGTGGCTTCTCTTGTGGGTCACAGTTACCCAGCAACAAAGTAAAGGCAGTTATTTATAAGTGGTATTAAAGATAGAAAGTATAATGTATTATTTTTTTAGAGTTTTGGTTCTTTTCCCAGAAGAAGAAAATACCACGGGATGATATTTTCAAGCACAATCAAGGTTTGTGCCTATCAACCCCAGTTCTAATTATAGACAGAGACCACCTAAGATTAATTTTCAAGAGTTTCAAGAAGAGAT